TGTGTCGCGGCGGGGGACCCCAGCCACTTACGTTAACAGACTCCTTTCCGTTGTACTTGACGCGAATCCGGGGCTCCTGGATGACGTCCAGGTTGGAGCCGGTGACGGTCAGGGGCGTGTGGCCGCTGCGGGGAGGAGGGAGAGGCCGGTTAGAGCGTGGCAGGAGCGAGGCGACGGATGATGCTGGTGGCAGGAAGACGCCTCCCCCAAACCCAGCGAGACCCCCGGCCCCTCCGCGACACAGCCCAGCTGCTGCTTCCACATCGCTGCTGCTAGCAGCTCTGACAGCCCATCAAACCCATCCTGCCCAAAACATAAAGCGAGTTTGAATTTGGGCTCAAAGCAGAAATGTCTTTGAGCCTGCAGAGAGTCACACACTTCTTTCATGGTCGATTTTAAAAAATAATTGGAAGTGAAGTGAATAGCTGCATTGCATCCCTTACAAGCACAGCCCTTGAAGTAACAGCAGGGATGATGAATCCGGCCCAGAGTTTTTAGCACTGCCTGTGTCACAGCGCTGTGACAGTGCCTGCCACCCTGTCCTTAGCAGTGAATCTTGGATAAGCAGCACGTTTTGATTAGCATCAGCTTCTTCCTTTCCTGGTGGTTTCTGTTTTTGTTTTATTCCAGAACCATAAGAAGGAGCCTTTAATGAGCAATTGCGCACTTCTTCAGCAGATGGAAGCCATCGTGGGGCTTTATTGGCACTCCCAAAACCTCAGTGCAGACTGCTACTGCTCTAACTGCCTTGGTAATTACAACCACTTTAATAATTCTGGACCTGATTTTTCATCCCTGTAAATGTGCATGCAGTCCAGCAGTGACAAATTGTGGACCCTGGGCGAGTTACACATTTCGGGACAGACCCTCTCTTGTCCTCACTGAGGCCATCCCGAGGGACAGGACTGCAGCAGACGTGGTGTTGCAAGAGGAGCTCTAGTTCGAGCCTGGCCTTACCTGGCGATGCTCCACTCGGGCTCGATGTGCTGCACTTTGGGATCGTCGATGTACTCAAAGAGCAGGGTCCTCTCGAGCTGAGCCCGGTCGACACTCACGGAGACGTGAACGGAGCCCAGGCCGTGCGCGGACGGGGCCGCCACGCACACGATCTCGCTCGCGGATCTCCTGTGCAACAGAGAGGCAGGACAGCGTCAGCAGCAGCAGCCCGGGGCCAGCAGGGCCGTGTGCTCCGTCACCCACGTCTCAAACTCCGGAGACGGGAGCTTGGTCCACACGAGAGGGGAGCGCAGGCTCCTCCTGCCTACCCAAAGGAACCCAGGCTCCCCGAAATGGCTCCCTGGGCCAAACTGCAGCCTCCTGCATCCCTCTGAACCTGCTGCCTCCTGCATCCCTCTGAACCTGCTGCCTCCTGCCCGGTGGGCATGAGCGCTGGCTGCTTCCAATGCTGGAGGCAGAAGCTCCCTCCAAAGCCAAACTCTTGCCCAAACCTGCATCCCTGCCCTCACTCCGGGGGGAAAAGCCCCATGGCTTCCACGGTTTAGTGGGTTCCTGGCTTCTCTTCTGCCAACGCAGGGGAGACAACGGGCAGGTCTCCAACATCGCCCTGCAGTGCCGGTGCCCTCACCCAGCGCTGACACCCACGTGTGTCCAGTCTTCCCTTCCTCCCTGCCCTCCTCAGAGGCTGCCGGAGCTCCCTGTCTGCCCGTGGCAGATCTCAGAGCATCCCTGGCCTCCAGGGGTATTGCCGGCCTCCCCGGGCCTCGCCGGCCCCGCACTGCAGCACGCGAGAGGCCCCGCGCCGCCGGGCTGCCGGCAGAGCTCCCTGCCAGCAGTTAATTAGCTTTCTGCGCTATTACTGTGTCGTCATGGTGAATGTGCCCACTCCTCCGAACAGCGACGGAGCGCAGGGGAAGCTGTAATTAGAGTGAATCTCATCAGGAGCCGCTTCATGTAACCAGGCCCCCCCACGGCCTGCAGAACACGCGGGGCTCGTTGCCTCGGACAGCCCGGGCACTGCGACGAGCGCAGCGGGACCCCCCGAGCGATGCTGCCGTCCCTGCACTGCCACTGGTTTTGTTTAAGTTGCTGCTTGCCTGCCGTAATTAGGACACTGAGAGGACTCGAAAGCATTCTCAGCTTTGCAGGTCACCATCTCCAGGTTGCTCAAATATAATAATATATTTAAGAATTACATTAGAGGAGTAATTCTGCCCCCGGGCAGGCTTGTAAGCAGTTTCCACTGATGGTAACAGTTACCTGCGCACATCTGAGCATGCAACCAGGCATCTGTGCTTCGGATGCAGTGGAAATATCAACAAATCAGTTATAACACTCAGTGCCCGTGACGACCTCGGCACCCCTGGAGCACTGCGGGCAAGTCCAAATCATCCTCCTCATCCCGAGATGGGGAAACGGGATACGGGAGAGGCGAGTACAGTGCCTGGTGTCTAGAGAGCCAGGCTGGGACCCGGGAGCAGCACGATGCTCGTGTCTGCCCAAGCTGCCAGCAGCAGATCCCTCCCATCCATAGGATCCAGTGTGGGAAGCCCAGGTCTTTGCTCCCAGGGGAGCAAAGCTACCTTGGCCCCCAAATGGGGCCACCGGCTGCCTTGGCCATCTGCAGCTCCCGGGGCCTTTCGAGGGCTCCTGAGTGCAGAGGGCTCTGGAGAGGACATCAGCCACAGACAAGGACACATAAAGGAAGCAACAGGAGTAATCACCATATCAAATGTTCTTCACCTCCTGTTCTGTCAGCTCTACAGCCAGACACTAGAGATACAGCCGGAGAGCCGAGGAAGTCCATTAAATCCTTTCTCTTTATTAACAGGCTTTTCATAATCCACCCCTTCCCAGCTACACCATAAAAAGGGAATCAAGTTTTAGCCATTTTAGCTATTCTGAGGCTGATGGGAGAAGTAATTGCTGATATTCAGTATCTTCACCAGCCTCTCTATCACGCTCTGGGTTTATCTGGTCCCACGGCAAGGGCTACGAAGGTCAAGTCCCGGGCCAGCCCCGCGGTGCTTGGGACGGGCCGGCACAGCTCGCTTGGTGCCAAACCGTGCTGCACGCTGGGGCACGCGCTGCAGCGTGGAGCCCGAGACCCCAGCGCATCGGGGCACCACGCACCGCTACGGCAGCACACGCAGCATGCGCGAGCGACGCGCACCACGCACACCGCACAGAGCTTCCTCTAGAGCCCCCGAATGGTTAAACCCTGCAAATACCAGCTCTGTGTTTACCCTGCTGCATCAAAAGCAAATTTGCTGTGGAAGTCCCAGGGGAGACGCATGGCGGTTTAAGCTCCTCGGCAGCCGCGTGGGGAGCTGTGCTCTGTCCAATGCTCCAAGCCCACCCTGAGCTCACGCTGCCTCACGAGACACCTGCACCCCTGCACCAAAGGCAACAGCAGCTGCTGACCGCGAGGAGAGCAGCTCCTCGCAGCCAGGAGTCAGCGGGCTCTTCCCGTAAATGTTTCATTTTCCTCAGATCACATCTGGTCTCGAGGGCAGGCTCCATGACTAGCATAAAGATTTTACAATTGCAGCAATACTTGTCTGAGATTTTTGGAACAGTCAAAATTATAGTGCATTAAAATGAAATAAAGGACAGCATTAATATAGATGCAATCAACTCCTTGTCAGGCAAGGTTCAATCACCGCAAGAGAGGAGATGACTTAAAGCAAAAAAATGTCAAAATGGGAGCTTTCAGGGATTCCTAAATGAGCTTTTGCTGGGGCTGAATGTTCAGCCATAGCAAAGACTGGGCGGTTGCAGCTTTATCGGAGCAATGGAGACGCGTGTTCACGTGGTGCTTGCGCTCCGGAACAGCCGTCTCCCATTCCAAGTGCAGGGATCAGCCCCAGGCCCCGGGCATGCGGCCCCTCTTACCCGTGGAACTCGCAGGTCTGGTTCCCCAGGGACACGGACACGTGGCTGCCTGCGCCCAGGTAGTGGCCCGTGATGGTCACCATGGTGCCTCCCGACTCGGGGCCGCGGCTGGGATGCAGAAAGCTGATGGCTGGATTCTTGGGAGAGAAGAGAAGAAACTCAGCGCGGGGAGCAGCTACGCACCGCGTCCAAGCACTACAGCTCTGGGAAAGCCACGGCATGGCCAAAACCAGAAACTGGGGCTGAAAGCCCAATCAGCCTTGCTTGTAAACAATGAAAGGGAGGAGAGCTGGGGGTCCCTGCTGGGACCTGCAAAACCCCTCTGGCTGGGATGTGGCCCGTGCAGGGTGAGGACACGAGTGCTAAAAAAGACTTTTCCATCTTCAGCTCATCATTTGGTGATAATTATGACAGATTTACAGAGCTGAAGTAGCTCCAAGGTTCCACCTCTCCGGATAAAGCGGGTGTAATTAAGGTGACAGCATAGATCCTGCGCGGTGTCAGGCAGCAGATGAGCTCACCAAGGCATGAACCCTCCCAGGGTCACAGCCCAGCTCCGCTTTAAGGTACCAATCAATTTCACTACCGACTTTAATGGCATAAACCAGCTGTAATGGAATTTGTGGTGGTGCCAAAGAGAAAAATAGAGGCCAAATAAAAAAGGGAAGTGATCTACTAGAAGTTTCAGATGCCTGAGAAAAAGGAATGACAATAAGGATAAGTGTTGAAAATAGGAGCAACATTGCAGAAAATGGTAATGCTCAGCACACGTTTGGCAGGTTGCTGCACGGTGCTGCTCCAAGATGCATCTCCACAATCACCTTCCAGCAGGTCCTGCCTGTTATTTAACACAAACCATGGAGCTTCCTCTTTTGTGCAGCAGGAGAATCTGCAAGTAGTGGCAAACCTGGTGAAGGAGACGCTCAGACTAGCCGAGCAGCTGGCCAGAACGTGGCCTGCATGACGGTGGGAACCAGGTGCCTTGCCAGGTCTCAGCCAGGACACCCATTTCACTCACCTGTGAGAAGGGGACTGGAATATTAATTTCTTCGGGTATAACAGAATACTCTGGAACGGAGAATGAAATCTCCACAGCCCAAGAGCCAAGGGTTAAAACTTGCACCTGGGAGCTCTAATCAGAGCAGAGGTTCCTCGAACAGGAGCAGTGATGGAGGGCAGAGGACTGCCCCCACTGCCACCGTGCCCAGCGGTGCTCTGGAGCTCGGACGCTGCCCCAGCCTCGGGCACCCTGTTATTCTGCACCGCTGCGATGCAGCTGCAAAGCTGAAATCCCAGGGGACGGTGGTGCTTAGCGCGCGGTGGGGACAGCGGGGCCAGCCTGATTTATCTCTCAATTAGTTTACAAATTGCGAACAATTGGTAAGTGCTGGCATTCCCCTGCATACACAGATTCCACTAAGCACAAAATCAATGTGCCTGGATGAAGTGCCCTGTTTAGGCAAAACCGGAGATACGAAAAACTCCAGCTGTGGCTTTTAAGTTTATGAATCAAAAGGCTGCTAATTAAATAACAGAAGGAAGTGACAATCACTCGAGCGATGGAAATCCACCAACCCTTCATTAAGCAGACAGATAAAACCTACAGTGAATTGGCATCCTCGGGCAGGGAAAAAATTAAAATAAAAATGTCAGGGTCCCTTGCTGGGGCGAGGGAACTCACCACGAACACGTAGTGCTGCGCGGACCTGGCCGTGAACTCGGGCTTGCACTCGCCGATGCAGAGGAGCGCGGGGCCGGAGCTGACCCCGGGCAGCGCCTGCCCCATCTCGCACACGATCCTGCAACGGGAGACCCCGCGTGAGCCCCTGCGCCGAGGGGCGCCTGCTGCTTCTGCTTTCATACCTGCCCCTCTCCCCTTTGGAAGAAGTTAATTACTGAGTCTATTTTTACCCCGTGTAGTGATTTCAGGGAAAAAAAATCAAAATTAGACATAATTATTACACGTTGTAAACTCCAGAGCAAAGCAGAGCACTAATGGCAATATATTAGCCAGTAGCAAAGGGAGTGCGGTGTCCTCAGAGTAACTGATGAGTTCATTAACGAACAGCTCACCAGTTAGACCGGAGAGGGGAGACGGAGCGGGCCGGGCGCGCAGGGTCCCTCGCTAGGGACACCCGGCCCGGGGACATCCCGGCCCCTCCGTCAGCCCCGGTCCTGCTCCGCTCCCTCCCGGCTGCTCTGGTCCCTCTGCGCTGGGAAGGTGGCAGCAGCACCGGGACAGCCGGCTCCCCGTCTCTGCAGCACGGGCTGTGACAGGGGCCGTGGCACAAGGGACCGCGTCACACCTGGTCCCCACTCCTCACAGGAGCCAACCCGCCAGCAGGTACCTCGTTACAAGGCGCAGAGCCGCGGGGTGCTGATTGCAGGGCTAAGTGGCCCTTTCACCAACATTAACCTAATTGCTGGCTGATAGACTGGAGGCTGCAGCATATGGCGAGTGCTGCCAGCCCAGGAACGCCGCCTGCCCACACAGCCCTTGAGAGGGGCCTTTCATCTGCCTCCTCCTTTAAAAGGCAGCTCTCATGCTAAGCTTGCTGTTATCTGCCCAGGGTAAATGTTTTAATGATGTTAACAAACTTTGAAAGCTCAAGAACAGTAATTAGAGTCGTGATTATAAAAATCAGGCCTTTGCACCATCAAAGGGGGATAATTTTATAATCTTCCGTCCTTCATTTGAAAAATAAAATAAAATAAAACAAAACACTGCTCCGCCGAATAGCCCAAGCCGCTATCGCTCACAGTGCTCCTAGCGCGCTGTGTGGGGCCACTACTGTGATAACAACAACAGTGCTCTGCACTTTGCCCTGCGACCGCGAAGTGCTTCCCGGCTTCTGCTTGCGGGGAATGGGGCAGGAGAGGCCCAAAGTGGAGTCTGAGCCGCTTCCAGTGCCCCTGGCTGCACGGAGGAGCCCAACGCTCCCTGCACACGCTGGGACATCGGCTGAACTGGGGGAAACCCCCAAAGCAGCAGCAGCAGCAGCAGCAGCAACGCGTGCTGCTCTGCGAGGCTCGTTCGTTTTCCTCTGCTGCACGCCTGTTTTCTAATTTTCAGTTGACGTTTTTGTTAGTGAAATAAATGAAGTGGCTCTGGTGGAGGCCTGTTTGGATTAAAGCGCTGTCAGCGCCTCGCGCCTAACAAATGGCGGGGCCGGAGGCGGCGCGGGCGGCGCGCCAAGGGCC